TTGTGTGTGTGTGTGTGCGTTAGTTAGTGTGTGTGCGTGTGCGTGTGTGTGTGCGTTGTTGTTGTTGTGTGTGTGTGTGTGCGTTGTTGTTGTTGTGTGTTGTACGTTAGTTGTTTGTGTTGTGTGTGTGTGTGTGTGCGTGTGTATGTGTGTGTGTGTGCGTGTGTGTGCGTGCGTGTGTGCGCACGTGCGTATGTGGTTCTGTTTGCTCTGTGTTCACAAGTTGCGTGCCACTGTCGTCTCCCAACACGCTGCCTGCATCGTGCGCTCCCATTTCACCTGTGCTCTTGTCTGCATTCGCTACCAACTATGTGAGCAGAACGGCAACTACGTGCTGGGCGCGCGTGCCATCCTTGAGCTCGAGAGAGACATCCGACAGCGCTTTCCTGACGCAATCCACAACTGCTGTCACTGCAAGAAGCCAGCATTCTATGTGAGTGCGTGAGTGAGTCAGTGAGTGAGTGTGCGTGTGTGCGTGCGTGTGTGTGTGTGCGTGCGTGCGTGCGTGCGTGTGTGTGTGTGTGTGCGTGCGTGCGTGCGTGTGTGTGTGTGTGCTGGACTATAGTTGACACCACTGATAATCACTGCTCAACTCCCCTCTTATTTCCTCACTACCGCCTTCAAACAGCGCTCCTCGTGCCCCAATGAGGAATGCAGTGCCGTCTCCCACTTCCAGTGTCACATCAACTTTGTCGCAAAGTTCCGCGAGGACAGACAAAGGTCAGCACCTGCGATTGTGTGTGTGTGTGTGTGCGCGTGTGTGTGTGTGCGTGTGTGTGTGCGTGTCTGTTGTTACATGATCACGATTGCATCACTTTCTCGCTCGAATTTGTCTCGTCTTTGCGCGTCGCTCACACGGTTGTCGCACAACACACAACACACCACGCACAACCCACGACGCAACAACACAACACGCGACAACACACCACTCACAACCCACGACACAACAACACCCCACGCACAACCCACGACGCAACACATTACGCACAATACATTACGCACGACACGCAAAACAACACGACAGGGGCCTCAAGTGCCGCCAGTGCGGGGAGCGGTGGGAGCCGGTGGAGATGGAGGCGAGCGCGAACGTGTTGCGCCGACAGCAATCAGCAAAGCGACGAGCAGAGGTGGCAACAACAGCACGCAAACGCCTGCTCGACATCGCAAAGCGACACTCTGCAAACGGCCACGCGCCAGCGAACGGCACATTGCAATCCAACGGTGGTGGTGGCGACGATGATGATGATGATGACGACGACGATGATGATGATGATGATGATGACGACGACGAGGGGGATGGTGATGAGGAAGAGGAGGAGCAGCAGCAATCGCGGGCGAGGAGGAGAAGTGGTCGCACACGAAGATGAACACGTCGTTGTGTGTGCGCGCGCGCGTGTGTGTGTGTGTGTTGTAGTTGTGTGGTGTAGGTGTGTGTGTTTGTGTGAACTAGAAAAGTAGAGTGTGTTGTTTTGTTTGTTGCTTCCCAACTCCGCGTTGGTTGTATCTCTGCATTGGCTGATTGTATCCGTTGCGTTCGTTACGTTGAGCCAATTACACATTTTCAACGCATTTCGAACACAGCAAACGCATCTGAAGTAACGCGTGGAGGAGGAGGTTGTTGTTGTTGTTGTTGTTGTTGTTGTTGTTGTTGTTGTTGTTGTTGTTGTTGTTGTTGCTTGTTGGTGTTGCTTGTTGCTTGTTGGTGGTTATTGTTGTTGTTGTTGTTGTTGTAATTGTTGTTGTTGTTGTTGTTGTTGTTGTGGTGGTGGTGGTGGTGGTGGTGAATGAATGAAACATGCGCACCAGTCAAGGAACAAGTCAAGGAACAGCGAACGTCGGCAGTTTCGTGTTTGGAACGATAATGCAGTGTAACAAAGGCAGCAAAGGGCGTGGCGATGGTCACTGACGTGGCACAAACGGAAGCGCAGCCGCCATCAAAGCCACCAAAAAACAATGCCCGTGTAAAGAACAGCATGGCACTTAACAGCGCGACACACAAGGCGGCGGCCTTGCGATTGAGCAGTGCGCCATGAATATAACAAACGCGAAGAAAGCAAGAAGGCAGCAGGTGATGCGCCCACAAACAAAAGCTCACACACGCACACACACACACACACACGTGCAATCATTGATGCGTACGAGTGTCCTGTGGTGTGCGAAACAACGAACAGAAAGCGCACGTCACATGAGGGAGCACTTTTCTTCATCGCCAAGGACGATTGGAAACTGGTGCAATGTTGACGCCGGCAGGACAAGTTCTCCCATCAACTGATCGTGCGGATCAAACAGCCGGATCTCGTGCGGCACAGACATGTCCAACGTCTCCTGCGGCGTTGTACACGATGAGTTGCGTGTGTTTGTGTTTGTGTTGTATATGTGTTTGCGTGTGTGTGTGCGTGTGTGTGTGTGTGTGTGTGTGTGTGTGTGTGTGTGTGTGTGTGTGTGTGTGTGTGTGTGTGTGTGTGTGTGTGTGTGTGTGTGTGTGTGTGTGTGTGTGTGTGTACGTACGTACGTACGTACACGTACGTACCG